ACACACACACACACACACACACACACACACACACACACACACACACACACACACACACACACACACACATATATATATATATATATATATATAATGTCAATTACAGCGACGGCGAACAGACTTCTAGAAGCACAACATGTGGCCTATAACTTATACCTCACACCCACTCCATTGCCAATACCACTCAATACTACACACGACAAACGACCTAAAGCCCACTCAAGTGCATCTCCCACACAATGTCCTGTGCAGTGGAGACGCCTATTGAGACGCTGTTGTACGGTCACAAGTTCTTGGCGCGGCCCTTTCGGCTGAAGTCTCAGGCCACACGCGACTGTGAACGACAACCAGAAACATGTGAACAACACATCACCATCACCACACAGGGCACATGGAACAGACACGACACGTTGCTGCACTTGGCAAGCATATGGAAGGTGTGTGAATGTGTTACACTTGGCAAGCATATGGAAGGTGTGTGAATGTGTTACATTTGGCAAGCATATGGAAGGTGTGTGAATGTGTTACATTTGGCAAGCATATGGAAGGTGTGTGAATGTATTACACTTGGCAAGCATATGGAAGGTGTGTGAATGTTTTACACTTGGCAAGCATATGGAAGGTGTGTGAATGTGTTACACTTGGCATGCATTTGGAAGGTGTGTGAATGTGTTACACTTGGCAAGCATTTGGAAGGTGTGTGAATGTGTTACACTTGGCAAGCATATGGAAGGTGTGTGAATGTGTTACACTTGGCAAGCATATGGAAGGTGTGTGAATACGTTACACTTGGCAAGCATATGGAAGGTGTGTGAATGTGTTACACTTGGCAAGCATATGGAAGGTGTGTGAATGTGTTACACTTGGCAAGCATATGGAAGGTGTGTGAATACGTTACACTTGGCAAGCATATGGAAGGTGTGTGATGTGTGAAGGGGGGGGGGAGGGTCAAGGTGTGGCGTGTGTGCAGATGGGAGTTTGTGGGCAATGCTGGTTGTCAGATATTGGATATGGACATACCATGCAATGCAATGGTACTTAGTATCTCAATTCACTCATGACGCTAAATCATACCCTATACCCTACACATTATACCCTAAACCTTAAACCCTAAACCCTAAACTCTACACATCGTCCTCCATTGTAAACCGCCTGTTAGTATATCAAACCACACCTGTCACTGACACGTACCATGCCTCCATCCACACATGCACACAGGGCCCCATATCCTTCGCACTGTTAGTGAACACAGACAGAGAAGCGGCCGAGGCTGTGGCTATGTGCCAAGACGTACCGAACTGCCGACAGTACATTGATCTACACATATCTGTACGCGCAGGTCATGTGGCAGAACACACAGGCAGCTTCTACCCCATCAACTATCTACGCAACCTAGCCATGCACAATGTCAGGACAAAGTATGTATATGTCATTATCAACAACGTATGTGTGTAAGTCATTATCAACAAAGTATGTGTGCTACATTTGGCTGTGTGTCCTGCCTATGCCTGGCATGCGTGTCTGTTTCTCTCTCATGATATAGCACATCTCTCTACCTCTCATATGAGCTATTGCACGACATGGTCGTCTTGTTGTGTTTTCACTCGGTGTGTGTGTGCGATGTTTCTCTCATAACTCTGACTAACGGGCTAAACCGTGCCAGCGATACCAGACGTTGCAATAATTTCTTTGTCAACCCTGTGGCCTAATTAGCGTATGTATATTTCCTTAAAGTATGTGTGTATCTATTGATCTATTGATCTATTGATAGACCACATGCTCAGCATATACCACCCTTCTGCATACGCTGATCCTGTCCTCTAATGTCATATATATATATATATATATATATATATATATATATATATATATATATATATATATATATGTGTGTAGTAGTAGTATA